GATAACTTAAGACAAAAATATAAAGCCAAAGATATATGAACATTAAGACATTGCATGAACAGGTAACAACAGGATAAAGCAAGTGAGTTATATAAAACTATCATTGCATGTGAGTTTCTTTTTGTTCTGTTTTGGTGGAGACAGAATACTGAGTATAATCATGATTATTAATATGGACAGGATATTAATTTCTTTTTGATTACAAAATACATTTATTTTTAATAAAAATATGATAGGGACAATGTTGCTAATTTTATTTTTTTGTTAAATTGTCTTAAATTCTTATCTTTAAAACAAAAGAAAGATATTTAAGGCAAGAATTTAAAATATCTCCAAGCCAAAACTTCTTGGTATTGCTGATGTATCCGGCAACCAGGATTAATGAGAAAACGCTTGCAGCCACCAGAAACTACATGCTATTTCGTGATATGTTAAGCTTCACATCCCCTTTGAGACCATCTAAATGGTAACAGAGTGAAGCTGAGTAGATAGGCTGTTAAAAATTCTTCACTAACTCTTCAATGTTTAGGAATGGCTTCTTTCATTGGCGATTTCAGAGCTTATTTCTTCAGCGCATTAGATTTTCTATCAAACTACTTAGGCTGGGAGTTGATTGGGAACAAAGAGAAAAAGAAATACAACCCCCAACTGTGAGAGGAGGGAAGTAGAAAAGGGTTGTAATCTATCTTCCTCTGCCACAATTTCTGGGAGAAGGTCAAAAAAATTTTATTCCTTCTCTCTCTTGCTCTCTGTTTAAAACTGCAACCCACCCCCCAGACATTCACTATCCACCTAATCTTTTTCTTCTTTTTTTTGTAACTTAGCACTTACCTTCGACCACACACCTCTCTCTCCTTCTATCTCTCTCCCTCTCTCATACACATACACACACAAGCACATATGCATTTTCTTGCTTATTATGATTATTGTTTACGGTCTTTTTTTCCCCCTACTAGAATATAAGTTCCTTGAAAGCAAGGGTCATTGTCTTTTTTGTTTAGTGATATCCCCAAGTGCCTAGGATAATTTCTCACATACAGTAGGCACTCAGTAAATATGTGATAAATGAATAAATGTTTCTTAACATTCATCCCTGCATTTAGGATACAAGTGAGGGGATAAGTATCACCAAGTAATTGATAGATAAATGAATGTTACAGAAATGAGTTGGAAACAATTGAATGACCCTTAAAGATTTTATGGGAAAATAACATATCCATTTCTTAAATGAATACGTAAAAACATCAGCTATTCCTTAGTACTACTCACTTTCTAGACATGTGGAGTAGGCTAATGAGAGAATGTAAAATCCTATTCTTACAGAGTTAAAAAAAAAAAAAAAAAAAACTTTCTATCGA